GATCTCCCAACCATACTATTCGTCCATGTCCTCGGCAGCAGGTGGGGATTCATCGGAGGGTGATCATCTCGTTGGACGGTTCGGCTCTCCCTTCCAGACTCTAGAAAACATGTCTAGCAAAAGACCTGTACCGAGCCGAAGCCAAGCCGTTTCGAAAGACGAGACGGTGACAGGCAGGCGGTCGGCTGAACAGATTCGGGGACGTGCTCACGGAAACCCATGGGTGGTGGGAGAGCGAGAACTCGGCATAGATGCACGGGGTGAGCAGATTCTTGAGAAACGCACGCGACGTTTCGTGCCTCATCTTGTATGGCAGGTCCATAATCTTACCACCGTCACCTGTGGGTCCAGCAGGCAACCAGAGCAGACATATCGCGATCTCAATCATGGAGGGAAAAAAAACATTCACATGGAAGAAACGAATCAGTGCAGATGGTTAGAGAATTCTTTTGTATTCTTCAGATCGAGTTGCGGGAGCGCCCAATCTATCTAGTACACGATGGCCATGGCCAGCCGTAAATTCCACCTCTTACTCGCCAATGTTAACAATCATCAATCATGCCGAACCAGCTTGGTTCCTATAGAATTCTTTTCGACCGCCGCAAGACTCTTGAAATAAAAATAAGAAACTAGATGCCGTCCCGGTTCGGGTGTAGTTGATTCCCAATCAATCCCAACGCCATGTCCCAGATATCAAGCTAGTATGCACAGGAAATGTTGTAGCGAACTAAATGCCCAAATAAGGTGCTAAAAGAAAGTGTAGTAGAGAATGTGGTGTTTAGAGGAAAAGCGACTCCAATCTGGCGAGAACTGGTTGAAGCGCGGCGTCGATGCGTTGCACCTTGGCCATGGCCACACATGCGTTCTTCTCATCTTCTGATGCATCGACGAGCTCGTAGCGGGCAAGAACCTTCTCGGCTTCGACACCTCCGAAGATCTCAGCTTGTGAGAGGGCTTCGGTGTCAAGTTCGACAGGGGATACGGTAGCAGGAGTAGGAGCAGAGTGGTACAGAGCGAACTCAGGGTCGTTCTCGAACTCGTCATCGAAGACCTCCTCGGTCGCCGGAGCCTGGGACTGAACCTCGGGCGCCAGGACCTTGGGAACCTCAATAGTGGGGAGCTCGATCTTCTCGTCATCAGACTCGAATTGCTCGCCGACAAAGTTGGAAGACTTTCCGGAGAGAACGTTGGTGTCAATGGTAACGGGAACATCCGGGGTCTCGAGAACAGCGAAGACCTGGGGTTGGAAGTTGTAGGCGTCGTTGTCAATGTTCAGCATGGAGAAGTCCATGTTCTGCTCAGGGAGCATGGCCATGCCGATCTGCTGCTGCTGGGTCTGGTTGGCGTAGGGGTTGATGTCCTTGGGAATCTGGCGCTGCTCGGCTTGTCTCTCGACCTTGACGGCGGGAGCTTGCTGCTGCTGAGGGGCGGGCTGGGGGTTGGTGCTGAGGTGGTCAAGGAAGTTGGAGAATGAGGGAGAAGCGAGGAGCATGCGGGTGAGATCCTGCAGGCGCTTGTTCTCGTCCTGGAGAGCACGGTTGTGCTGGCGAAGCTCGCCGTTCTCGGAAACCTTGTTGGCAATCTCGGCCTCGAGCTGAGTGATGTATTCTGTAATGGGTTAGCGAGCTAATGTTTTGGCGTTGTGGTAGCGAAACTTACCCTTTCTGCGGGAACGGAAGGCGCGGGCGGAAACCTTGTTGCGGAGTTGGCGACGCTCCTTGCTGCTGAGCTTCTTGCCCTCCTCGCTAGCGAGAAGTCTCTCATCCTCGTCCATATCCTCCTCGTCCTTCTTGCATCTAGGCAGGTTCATGAGAGGAGTGGGGCTGTCGCCCTCTTGAGCGGGCTTAGCACGCATGGAGTTGAGGAGCTGGGTGATCTTCTGTTCAACAATGGGGTCGGTAGGCTGCTGGCTCTTGGTGCGCTGCTTCTGGCCCATCTGCTGACGCTGCTGCTGCTGCTGGATGATTTGCTGCTGTTGTCTTTGCTGGGCCTGGGCCTTGGCAAGCGCAGCCTGAGAGTGCATGCCGGGCCAGAGGCGGCCCACGTTGCTTTGCTGGGAGGGGACCACGGGAGACTCTTGTCCGCCAATGGCAGTGGGGTTGACGGTGGTGTTGGGGAAGAAGTACTGGGAGTCCGGAGGGGAGTCAAACTCCATATCCATATCCAAGCCGGTAGAGTTTTGGGAGGGCGATGTGTTGAAGTCAAACATGTCGTTCTCCGGGCTCAAGCCATTGCCCAAGTAGTCCATTCCATAGCCGCTGTTGTAGCCGCTGATATGAGAGTTGGCCTCGTTCACGGCCAGGGTGCTGGCGAGGGCACCGGGAACGATGCCAGTCTGCTGCTTGTAGAGATCATACTGGTGGCTGGGGCCAGTAAGGGGTTGTGATGCGGACGGCATCGTCGGGGTCGCGACGGTGCTGACTGATGGGCGAGTGAAGGTGTTCTTGGCGGTCGCCGTAGGAGAGAGCGAGGGAGACTGATAAGACATGTTGTCATACTCGCTGAAGTCGAGGAGGGCGTCGATGTTATCGACGTTCTGATTCGAGGTCGTCATTGCCGTCGAAGGAGGATTCGATCCCTTGGGTATGATGGGTGTTGGTGGATTAGGGTTCGCACCGGTCTGTGGCGAACCTTTGTTGTGACTGTTGGGTCCCGTACCCGACGACGAGGGAGTGATCGATATAGTACTCGGTTCGGTAAGTGAGGCTCGTGACGATAGATGGCAATGCCTCAGGTGAGTGTTTCGTTTGGTGGTTTGGTTGAAGTTGAGAAGAAAGAGGGTTCGAGAGGTGGGAGAGAGAAAGAGGAAAAGAGGACAAGAAGAGTGTTGAGATAGGCGACTAGTTTAGGGGGGTCTGGGCAGTGGATGTATGGGAAGCGTAACAAGAGGGACTGAGCACGGGGACTCCGTTTCTTGAATGATTTGGGTGCCTGGTCCTCGGAGCAGCAGGGGGGAAAGGCGGGCCCCAAGCGGATTCTGGGCGGGCTGAGCAGGGGGTGGGCTTTGGGGGGGAGTTGAGGAAGGAAGGGACCAGGAGTCCCAGGACGGGCGAGCAAGAGCGAGGGGAAGGTACTTTGGTACTTTGGTACTTTGGGAAGGGAGTGAAAAGACGGGATTGGGGGAGTGAAGGAGGGAAGGAGAGGGAGCACTGAGCAGAAAGTCCAGAAAGCGCAAGAGGGAAGACGGAGGGAAAGAGAGAGACGACCGGGGCGCTGATGGGAGGGAAAGAGGGACGCGTAAGCCGATGGACGACGTGTCCTGATTGGGATTAGCGCGGGTAGATGAGAGAGACTGGGCCGGGCGTCCTTGGCTGACGGGCTGCACCTTCTCGTCGGGTGGGAAGGCAGGCAGTGGTGTTCCTTCCCTCTCGCTCTTTCTCACTCGTCCGTTGCTTCCCTTCCCCTACTGCGTCCAGCGAATATTCGTACCAGCAAGTGCAGGCAGGCAAAGGAAGGAGCATTGGACCAGAACCAGGTAGACCGGTGAACGGCAGACAGGTACAATCGTATTCGAAAAGGCCCGGGTGGGAAAGCACGAATTCGCAAGATGTCAGGTAAGGTACCTTCTTGCAGCGATGCACACTTACAATGTACACGTCTGCGGCCTGAGGATGACGACGCCAACTGCCCTTTTCGGCTCAGTCGTCGACGAGTACTCGACCATTCGCTCACACTGATTCGCTCCTGGCGGTCCCCATTTCCTTCATTTTCTGCGCCTTTTGGCTTCCAGGTTCTTTTGGTGAACCCCCGGAGCGCTGTGGAATTCAACGTGGATTCGCAAGCTCGTCACTCGCCAGAACAGCGACCGCTTGTTTTGATATTGAACTCGACCACTCGCTCTACCGCCTGTCGCCTGCCGCCCAACCACAAGCAATGGCGCGATGTCGCCGTTTCGAAATGTTGCTGACGACGACTCGACGACGCACGCTTATTGAGAGAACTTTTTTGACTTTTTTTCTCCGGTTACTCGTCTTCGCCTATGCTACCGACAGATACTAGGCCTGTTTACCCGCCCATTTTATCATCAATTCCCACTCGTTGATGTTGGCTACGGCTCTATGTACAATATCGTCGTCGATGATGAATCCAATGTCAATCCCCTCCCCCCATTGCCGTAGCCTCTCTAATTCTTCCGATAAGACGGAGCAGAATCTAGCCGACATACAAGGACGAAGCCGCAAACTCGAGCTTGGTGAGATGACAAGATGACGAGGCCGCGTATTGTTCGGGCGCGAGACCAAATCCGAACCAAGCGAATCGCTGCAAATAATACAAACCAAACCACACAGGCGCCTCGCCTGGCGCTATGCTGCGCTGCGTGTTGCTGAGTGCTGACCCGAGCCGACCAATTCACTGCCCGACGGAGACGGGCGGCGGGAAGTTTTGGTTGTGCGTGGCGGCAGCGCACCCTCCCCTGTTCGCTTTCGCTTGCGAGGTCAAAGACAGGTATCGAGTACTCAATGCCACGCCCAGGATATCCGCAGTCGCGTGTACCAATACGAATAGTGCCGCCATCCCGGGTGTGGCTGTTCCAGTTGGCGCTCTGCCTCTTTTTTGCTTTCGGCGTGGGTTGATCGTCCGTCAATGTTGCTCTGAGCTCTTACTCTTCCCACCACCAACAAATCAAAGGCCCTCGTTTGGTTCGTTCAAAAAGAAGGTTGTTTACTCGGTATGCTCAGCCTCAATCACTGAACTCATGGTCTTCGATTCGATTCAACTCGCTCCAACGACCTGACCCAGCTGCTTACGATGGGCTTGGAATCCAGCAGTATGCAAATACCGGCCACCTGTCCGTCTCTAACCATCTGAACCTCCCAGGTTTCTCAGCGTCGCCGCTCAGAACAGTACAGGCCCCCATATCGAAGCAATCCAGACACCCCTTGACACAGCATTCTCACTTGCGGCAACCTTTTTCAGCATCCACGCCTCCCCTTGGTTGCCATTCTTTGAAGCAATAGGTGCAGACTGGTCTCGGCGACTAGAAACACGGCGCGGCATAGACTTTCACTTGCAAGTTGCGGCTACGGTACTCGTCCGGGCCACTGCCCACATCACGAAAAGGTCCCTCCGAAAAGGCTCACTGGTCTCCGTCCGAGCTTTATGGAGGTGGTCAAGGAGGTGGTGGAAGGGAGTCTACGGCGTTTGGCCATGCGCTGACATCAGGCCGTCCCATTCTCGCGGCTCCAAATTCTGTTCAGCTCGCCCCCGAAGCGGAAGTTGTGCCGTCGTCCGTTGTACACGGCTTTAACATCTGGAAAAGACTTTTCGTCCAGGGAGCCAGAGCCAGAGCCAGAGCCAGACCCGACGGTAGCTTCGGGCGTCTCCTTCGCTCCCGACATTCCGCACTGAATTGGGCCCTCAATTTGGTCGGTGGTTAGATCCCGTTCAGGGGGTCGTCCCGTTCGTTCTGGAAATGCCGCCTATGATCATTCAATCCTGTGGGACGCTTTTGTGATTTCCGTTCCCTGACCCTACCGCGATAATTCATGCACTGCCACCACGGCCGTTATCACTATCGAAATCACCAAATCATCCACCGCCCATGTTTGATTCGCTCATCTGCTTTTCGTATGGGCTGTGCCGTTGACCACTCCTATGAGCGAGCTTAGTGGAAAACACTCGCGACACGGCGTGGCTTAGATGAGCTTCTATTCGCAGTAGAGCTGCTTATCCGTCTGCAACAGTCACTGCTAACCCAGCCCTGTCGGGCGTTGGACCACGACGATGGCCCTGGAAGCTGGCAATAACAGCAAGCCCTCAGCACCACAACGGGAACAATTCTAGCTCATTGCGGAGTAGACTTCTGGCTTAACGGCGGTCACTGCAGCATCGCACATCTTGCATCACAAGTCTTGGTCGACTTCACGCCCCTGGGCCACAACTCAGCAGGCGAACGTCGACCCGCGGGCCCTCCCAATAAGGTCGACACACGATGGAAATTGGGCTTGTTACGGCCCCCAGACTCAAGGCGAATCTGATGTTCCTCGCCATCTCGCCTACCCTTGATACGCGCAATCTGGATCGCGAACCGTCCGTCCACTTTTTGTCACTTTTGGGCTCTTGCTCAAGAAGGGTTCGCAGACGTCTCAGTCTCCATTTCAACTTGTGACCATCTCCAGAGTCCAGACGACTGCCAGCCCTTTCGCACCGCGAAATTGAGCCGAATATCGAACGCTGGTGCCGTGATGATTGAGAATCCGACCAAGACAGACCTGAAGCCAGTACTTCCAACACTAGGTACGACAGCACCCCCCGGCGCCGTTTCGGCATTGCTGTAACAGTGCGCCTATTTAGTGCTATGGGCACCGTCTCGGCTTCTGGCACCTCGCTCTGGCCCCACCGGTCCCGAAGGTCCTCCCACATTCCCGACGTGCCGACTTTCTCGAGTCTCGCCGCCTCGCACACGCCGCAGTGGGCTAATGTCAGTTAAAGTCACCAGTAGAAGACTCGACCACAACCATTCAGCAGCCGTCTATCAACCCATCAATGGGTGTGGGCTTACATAAGGAGCTACACCTTGCACTAGCTGGGCTGCTTAGTGGTTCACAAGTATGTATTCTTATGCCGAGAATCAGGGTGAGCCGCTGCCAGACCACGCCCCGGCCAAGCGCGAACCATGACGTTGTGTAAACAAAAATAGAAAATATGTACGCCTTGTTTCACCTGCGGCACCTTCACAACCACGACAGCCCACAGAGTCCCGGGAGCGAAATCCAGAACGCCTTGTCAACTGACAACGGGTTGCTTCCAAGAGCCAACCAGGGACCACCGTAAACTCCATGCTCCATTCCCGCGGCTGCTTCCTACTGGCCAGCTCGACGGCCCCAAATACCGGCAAGGCTCTTTTTCCCTTTTGGTGTGGGAGAACGCCTTCTGACGGACTATAACGGACAATAGGGGCTTCGGCACCAAGAACCGCAACATTCGATGATTTCGACCACCAACCAGATATTGCCCTTGACCTCAAACTCGAAAGAGCCGCTTGAGGGGGACCCTGCCATCCCATGTTTCGATGCATAGTAGACGCCCCGTACTCTGTACCGCACCATCAATCAACCAACCCCTCAGATTCTCGCGGGAATGGCGTCGGTTTGATCGCCCACATCGGCGCATCACCGGGAGTCTGGAGAAGATCCAGGGAGGTGTATTCGTAAATACATAGCAGTGACACATGCGGGCCACAGCGAATGACAGGCCGACAGACTTCAGAACGGTGGCGGCCCCTTCGACCTCGGGGTTCTAGAACGTCGACTCTACATTCCTTTGCCCCCTACACTTTTCCCCCCTCATCGCGAATAGCTGAACTCTAGGGTCCGATCATCCCGAATCTTATCAGTTATGGTATATCCACCTTACAGTTCGGAGCAAAAGCCTGTTCGATGAAAGGCTTGTTTTTGCCCATTGAAGATGTTCTCTCTCAGGTCATTTCGTTGAATGGGCCTCCGCCATGAACTCTCTTCGAGGGGTTCACTCTGGAATCGTTTTCTCAAACAGCGCCGGCCAATACACCCTCATACCTACTTATGCGCTCCCACATTCCACGATTTGTTGTCTGGAAAATCGTCTCCACAATAGCAATGAACTTGTCCAAGCCGAAGACAAAGTTTGAATTGTAAGGTAAGCAAAAGCGGAGGTGGTCAGTCCACACGTGTGGGCACGGTAGCAGTACGGATGCGTTCCGCCATCACGTCGATTCATGTACTTCTTGTCCGGATATCATCCGCACATTGAATCGCACATATCCGTATCGAAAAGAGAGAAAAGAATGTCCCGCAGACAGGTGAGTGCAAGGGTGTGGCTGAGCCTCTGTCTCCACCATCTGCCGTGCCGAGCAAAAGAAAAAAAAGCCCCCCTGCCAGTAAACAACCTTCACGACTCACGACTCGAGGTTGGCCCGAATCTGGCAAGATGCTCCGTTCTATTCGGGCCTAGCGTTGAGGGGACCAAGCATTTTTTGACAGTTATGGATGGGCGCCCCCCTTCTTCCCGTGCGGCCTGCGGCGCGGGTGCATGAGCCACTGCGAAAATAACGAGATTGCTGAACTTTGAGCGTGCAATGTAACAAGGTGGTATCGAAATTTGAAGCCTTATCGTGAGAGTGGGCAGGGCCATGGCCTCGAGGTGAGCAGAGAGTCAGAAACTGCATGGTCATTGTCACCGAATTTTTGACCGATGTCTCTGAGATAGTCGGCTAGTCAGCCAGGTGCTTCTTTGCTTGCTGAATTCAATATCCGACGAGCAGAATTCCGTCTCGCCTATCTGATGTCGTGCTTTTGAGTGAACAGGGAGCAAAGGACTTTAGGGGCATTGAGCTTTCCGAGGAACTCGGGTTATGACTGGGTGGCCTAGATGATGGATCCCAAGATACTGACTGAGAATGGTGGCACTGACGTGTGGTTCCACCTCGATATCCTTGGGGTAGGTCACCGGTGTACCAACCCTGAATATATCCGTTGATGAAATAGTACGGTGGCCCTCGACTTACCTGGCAACTGTTGAGTCGCCCCGATGGCATCCAGCCAATCAGCTTGACTTCAGATCACCGATGATGGGCTTTCGAACAATGTCGAGGGAAGGAAAAGAGGGATTCTCAATAAGCAACTCTGATCATTGCACGAATACCAAGGTTTTCGCCACAAAGATGAACATCACAGATGCCACAGTAACCAGGAAAGTTTGTTGGCAGGACATTATTAGAAACAAAGCCGTCTTCCTATCAGAATCGAGTTTCCCCTGTAGATCCAACTTACAGCAGCTGTCAAGAACAGGTTTTTTGTGGTGTCCAAGTTGGAACGGTACGGTGGACCAATGCGCGACAAGCCACAGGTCATAGTGACGATTTGGTAGCTAGCACAGCCACACTACCCCTCACATATGGCGCTTGGGACTACACCCGCCACATGAAGCGTCAAGCCACACACGTGATGATTTTCGGCAACCTCAGGGTCGGTTCCCTCTTTCTTCGTTGTGGCAGATGTCACTGGCTTCGGTGGACGAGTGGAAGGGAATGCTCGACCCTGAGGGCTTTCAAGTTAGATTCTGTTAATTCGCTAAGCTCTTCCATTTTGTGGAAACCTTCGCCATCCGAACTTCCATGTGCTCTCTTTCCGTGTGCGAGTTACGGATATTTACTGATGCTTTTCCATCTGCGAAAGATTAGGGAGCGCCTGGAGGAGTCGAGGCTTATTCAAGAATAGGCAATGTAGATAAAGATACCCGTGTGATTGTGTAAAGGTGTGTGTGTGTGTGTGTGTGTGTGTGTGTGTGTGTGTGTGTGTGTTGCCCAAAGCTCATGGAAGGTCAGTGCAAAATTGACGCAGTCATCAGCTGAGAATCTTTTACTGACCCTCGGCCTCGGTACGTCTCAACCTATGTGTCTGTCGAATCCGTGCTTTTACCCCATCCCCTCTCTGCTTGCGAGAAATAGACTTCCCGAGAGTTACTCAGAGCATTATGCCGTCGGGAGGTCGAGGAGGAGTGGTAGTAGAGGGAGTGTACACCTTCCGCCGCCATGGAAACCCAATCTTCTGACTACGAAGTCTACAAAGTGTACGAAGTGGGATGAAAAAGCTTGGTGAAGCTTAGCGGGCGCAGTGTGGATTCTTGTTGTATGTCAGAGAAAATAAACGAGGGAGCTTCATGGCATGCGGGGGTTCTGAGGTAGGGGGGAGGGCACTAAGGTAATGAAGATCTGGGCCGTAGAAGGAAGTCACAGGCTTGTCTTTTTCATCTGAAGGAACGACATAGGGGACGATCTTATTTGCCGCTCTGGTTGGAAGACCGGATGTCGAGGCCGAGTTTCCGTTCATTTGCCGACACTTTTGGATGAGTTCATAGTTGAAGAGAGTGTGCTTAGTGATTCTGCCGATGTTGAGCAGTTAGAGGCGGGGGAGGGGAAGGTTGATGGCGAGCATTGGGATGCCTCGGCACAAGACGATGGTTGTGATAGGCAGCAGCTTGGTAGAGCTGTTTATATTCTGGGATGGTTGTTCTTAGTCCAAGGGGGAACGCTTTAGCGCTTCAACTTAGGTTTTTGTTTTGAGAAACTTATGATGACACTTCTCTATTGCTTTTGGAAACATTTGAGATTATCAAGGCTTATCTTGGAGTATTCAATGAATAATCCCATGTTGTAGTGGATCTATTCGAGAATCTCTAAGACGTTGAAGTATTTACAACTTATTATTATATCTTATGTTATTTTTTACAAGACAAGAAAACGAGATGTGCCTACGTCTTGCAGGAGGCTTTCTACAACAACATGCAATTGCTATGCGTTGAGATCAGAATAAACGTTCTACACAAGGCTTGAGCTATTGGAGCAGCCTTTCGAATTACGTCTTGTTCATTGAACCCAAGTCTTGATGGCTTATTGCTTAGCAGCGTCAGTTCGGCAAAGTGCTTCTTATTCTTTAAATATATCATCTTCAGGTATCATATAAGTCAGTAACTCATAGCACGTCTCATTAATTGTGCGTCGACGTCTGTGAAACCGCAAATCTTGCTAGCGGCGTGTACAACGAAGTCACGACAGAGCCCCTGCTTGCTAGCCTGGAAGCACTTCTGTCAGAGTCTCTGGAGACTTTGCATCTGTACAGCACTCACAGCGAGGAAGACTTTCGCAAAACATCAAGCCGTCTGTCGAGTCAACGATTGACACATTTGAAGAAAGTAGTACTGCACAGTGCTGCCGTGATTTTAGACTTACCCGGTTGGCAAGGCTATTGCTCAATCACCCACGCCGGGGTCATCTCGGACAGCACCGTACCTGTATAATTAATTAGACCGTTAAAAAACCAACTACCCAACCCAAAGTAAGTAGAGCAGGAAAACCGAGACCATGCTCATGCAAACCAGTTGCCAGTGGGGAGTCATCTTACTGAACTTCGGCGAGGATATGGAATAATTACAACGAGCAGCCGACCCATGCTTCATCCTTCTCCATGGTCTACCTAAACGACCGACGACGGTTATGATGGAAATTTCCAGATCCAACTACACAAATCTTAAGCCATCTCTGTGGGCCGACAATCTCTCGCCAATCGGGGCCAAGCGTTCATGACTGTAGGTACCTGTCATCATCTGATTATTCCATTGATTTGGTCTACTCAAGGCAGACTTAAATCATACCGCGCTTCCAACTCCCAAGGTAATTTCAAAATTGTCCCAGTCCTTGGTGCCTTTGCGGCATTCTTCAAGGTATCGAGGAATACCACCAAGATAGTTGAGCTGTTCCTTCTTCTTGCCGGGAATGTTCCCTCCCACGTACCAGGATGTATCGCTCTTGCTAAACAGCAACGCCTCGTGTATTGCTTGTACTTTTTCCTTCCAATTCTCTTCAGCTGAACGGCGTGGCTCGATGGATGTGATGTTCCCCGTGCGCAGCTTCACAAGGAAGTCTGTAACAAAGTCGACTTGCTGCTCGATGAACACCGGCGCGTTCGTCAAAGCCGTAGGAGCTATTTCAGTTGTCGTCAATAACTTGAGGTCTTCTAGAAAAGATGCTTAGGGCTTCTTGCTTACCTTGCGGCCCGTATATCATAAACATGTTTGGACATCCTCGAGCCATCAAGCCAAGATACGTCCAAACGCCTTGTCTCCACCTCTCTTTCATATCGATGCCGTCTTTCCCACGGAGCCCCATGCTTGTCAAAGCTCCGGTCATACTGTCGTACCCCGTCGCTAGCACAACAATGTCATGCTCTCTCTCCTTTCCATCTTCAGTCACGATACCTCGTGCTGTCCATTCGCGGATGCCCATCTGCTTCACATCCACCACTTCCACATTATCCTGGTCCATGCATTCGTAGTAATCCTGCTCCAGGCTGCTTCGCTTCGTTCCAAACGGGAAAGGTTGTTCGTCAGGCACCAAGATGGCTCGTTTCTCCGGATCCTGCAACCGGCACTTGGTTTTCTTTGACCAAAACTCGTAAATCAAACGATTCACTTCCGCGTCCATCAAGAAGTCCATATACTGGCCTGCTTGGAAGTTGAAGGCCCCTCTCTTCCATAGCTCCTCCCACCATGCCTCCCTTTCTTCCATTGTTGTCTCCTTTGTAACCTGGGTAGGTCCATCGCAAGGTAGCCCGGCACTACTATCCCTCGCCAACTTGAAAAGTGTCTTGTATATCGCTTTCAAGCTGTCCTGCTCGAGTTCCGAGATTTCGCGTTGACGCATTGGGAGTGCAATGTTGACATTTCGTACGTAGACTGTCAGCTCTACGCCAGGCTGTTTAGCAATTTCTTGCACACATTGAACCCCTGTTGCGCCTGATCCAATGATGGCAACTCGTTTGTTCTCAAGATCGATTCCGGAATCAGGCCATGCTGCGGGGTGTACCACTATGCCTTTGAAGGAACTCTTTCCTGCGAATTCGGGCTCATATCGTTTGATTGAACTGCCCGTCGCCGGAATCAAGAACCGCGACGTGATGATGCGTCCTGTATCGGTCTCGATGATCCACTTGGCTGTCGCCATATCAAAGTCGGCCCCAACCACAACAGTATTGTACGACACGTCCTTAGAAATGTCAAGCACTTTGTCGACGTGTGTGAAATATCTCTTCAGCTCTTCGTGCCCCGGAAAGCGTTGCGACCATGTCCAGTCTTTCCAGACCTCCCGCAACGAAAGCTGATAGTAGGGCGTCTCCGAGTCAACTCGTGCTCCGGGGTAGCCGTTCCGGTGCCACACGCCGCCGAGGGCCGACCCAGCTTCCACAACGTGTGCCGAAAAGCCCAACTTGCGCAGTTGGTGTAAGGCGTAGCATCCCCCAAAGCCGCCGCCAATGATCAGAACATCGTAATCCATCTTTCTGTCGCAGGTATTATTACAATTACCGTTGTATTTAGTTCGGTGATGATTGAGGTGGTGGGTAGACCCCATTATGACCAACTCAGTCTTGAACCTTAGGTCGACCAAATTGAGTCAGGATCGGGACGAAAGAGTCAGGAACATTTAGAAATCGAGCAATCTGGGAGATCTACCGACTCATGAGACTAGATCTGTTGATTTATGAGCCGACGAGCGTATGGTCCAAAAGATCAGATGGGATTTTGGGTTCAAGCAGGAGAGGAGATGAAGCTGATGTGCGGCATTAGGCCCGCCTCGGTCGCCTCGGTATGCTCTTGCGGCAATAAAGTTCCTTTTTTCGCCATCTTCCTCGCTCTGCCGTACTCGGAAGCAATTGATGAGTGGTGCAAGCTTGCCATTTTTGAATCTTTGACGATTTGACGTCGTACTTGAAATGATCCCCGCAGTTGCAACCTGGCCAGCGTTGCAGTCGATGTAATGATCTAGACGGGTCTAGATCTCTCGGGAATGTCGCCGTGTCCTCCAGGTGGATACTGCGTGGTTCCAGCCAGGATAAGGTCGGCATGTGTATAGTCCTGTTAGTTGGAGGCTTCAGGGCTCGACCGAGTGAGCTTAATGATTGGTCTCTCCGAGACCATAGGCCGTTTGATGTAGCATTCAACCGAAGCTCTATGACTTGTCGATGCAACGAGAAAGAACGTTCTGAACTACTTGACCACGGAATGCGCAGCCGTGATATCGTAGAATGCAATACTAGGTTCATCTGCAAGCTCGCTCAATCCTTGCGTGGATTCATTCAGATGTGTTACTCAACAATGTGTGTCTAAAAATATGGTCTTCAAATATCGACTGGAGCACTGTCAAACTTGTAAAGCATGCCATCAATCATTTCGCCTGGGGAGGGGGCGGGGGAAGATATGTGGACGGCCTCTCGCATATATTATGTCTGGTGCATGTCACTGGTAGTTTTCAGTATAAGGATGAAGTCTGTCATGGCTAGAGATTTCCCCCACAACCAATGAAAGGGGCCGGAGCAGCTGGCAGACCTCAAATGATGGAAATCAGCCTCATTTGACAGAAGATTCGATGCCTAGAGCTTCATGTCGAGGACTGGGTATATTGAAATCCTAGGTCATGATAGCGGCGCCCGGGAGATGAGAAGAAGAAGCAGAGCAAGATGCATACTAACATTCTAAGGAAAATGGAGAGAGAAGCAGCTGATGATACGGAAATCATTCGCGTGGCTTCCACCTGACCTGCACTGTTTGCCTTGAAGTCCTACAAGTCGCATGAACCGCCTAGAAGAGCCTTCCAGCGAAATCGAAAGCAATGCCTGCTTCCTCTTCGTATACTATACAGTACAAGATAAGGAAGAGGCAAGCGACGCTTTAGCATTTCTCAAGTGAATGATGCTTAAGTTCTTTTTCTAAAAAAGGGGGGTGCTTCCTTTGATCTAACGAGCGGCTGCGTGCTGCGGGAGGCCTACCGACCTTAGCCCTAACACAACCAACTGATTCTCTGTTTTGTGCCCTTTGTGTGAATGCACAGCCGTGGAGGTTAAAATTCTTTCGAATTCTAGATTTCTGAGAACTTCGTTTCTTTCCTCATCTTCCGGAAAGCGACGATCTCTCACAAACCAGACCATTAGTGCCGGACCTGGCCGCTTGCATTGGTTGATATCGCCGGCGATGACGTCTTCAGACGACATGATCATGGATCCTCTACAGGAATGGAAGCGGCGTCTGAGCCCCCTAAGAGTTGACATCGTTGGCGACTTTGCTGGGAAAGAGCTGTTTACCATCCATGGGGAATCTTTGGTGGCTCACTGTCTCGCCTCTGCAAATGTCGACTATCTCGGTGGGCATCTCCAGATACCCCTTCAAATGCGTTCACTACTTACCTGATCTTGGCTAACCGATAAAACAGCGGGCTTCCAGCTACTTCATGCGGTACATGCAATCGAGGTCTTCCTGGCCAAACTCAAGGAACGGGGGTGCAACTTCCACGTCTTGTGGTTCGACAGTCACCGAGACCTAGCGACACCACCTGATTCTCCCGAGAATAAATCATACAAATATCTCTTGACGCGTGCTGTCATTATTGAGCACCTGAGATGCCCTGAAACACATCCCAAAATGAGTTTCGACGATCGCGGCATCAATTCTCCAATGAGCTTCGTGTTCCCTTCCATCATGAGCCCCGAGTTCGCGGAGTACACCAATCAGCACCGCTTTCACTTCATCATGATGTCCCAAGGCCGGTCTTCAGATCTCGACACGACCAAGGAGGGAGAATTCTTGAACATTATGTATCTGTTCGGTCTTCGCGGCTACAGCTTGGCTTTTATTGACGACATCGAGTTTCGAAGCTCCAAGGTAAAGTTTCCGTGCTACCTTTGACAACAGATCACAGCGCGCTCACCTAATCTCTCAATGGCAGGCATATACTCTCATTGCAACAGCGCCGACCTCAGTGGCAGTGATACCAGTCACAGAGCCAACACCAGCGACGACACCCGATCCCGGTTGCCAACGGACTATCGAACGTCTCCAGGCCATACTCAAGCCCAGTGAGTGGCGAGTGCTTCGATCTGACGGTGAAGTCGAGGCCCAGGAAGAAGTAGCGGTCATTGTTTGCGCAATCTTCTTGTCTAACAAGGCCTCCTCGGATGTACACAGTCACAGACTAGTGGCCGCCTTCCTCTCACACATCGTTCTGCTGAAGCATGCAACGCTCTTGCAACGACCCGTGGGGACTCTACCCAAACTGGAGAGTTCTTCGGGCATCGAGGAGTTCCTTGCGACTTTTTCTGAAGTAACAACTCACCTGATACAGCAGTGGCCCAGGGGAAAAGAAGGACAATACCTCAATTGGAGAGTCTGTGATCTCATTGACGGCCGAACCTACAATCAAGTCTTGGAGAGACTCGAAACACTCAAACTCCCAAGTGATGCCGGTTCTGGGTATGCAGAAGCTGTACGGCGATTATCTGGCGTCGACGTATCCTACTGCATGCCGAATTCCGTTCCACAGATCAAAAGTGGCGCAGGAATACATCGCATCAGCTACCAGCCCCCAGACACACAGTCGATACTTGCATTCAGCCATCCCGTGTTGGACAAGTATCTCGAGGAGGTTAAGTTGACAAGCCAATCCGTGATGGAGGATGAAGCCTTTGAGTCCAACATCTTTCAAGAGCTCTCCCACTGGCACAATTCGAAGAAGAGCATCGACCCCAAGCATGTACCAAAGCGTCGAGGATTCTATGCGAGCAAGAGAAACCAGAGATACATGGCCGACACGATTGCCTACTCTGCCAGTCTTACTAATTCTGCCGGGAAAAGCATTCATCCTGAGACGATTGTCGCCAAGATGTCGGATCTTTCTGCCCGGTCCAGGAAGCAAGTGGGCACAACCAGAAGACAAGATCATTCGATTAAGAGCGGTACAGAGAATGCACTTGAAACATCGAGGAGATTGAGAGAGGCGAAGAGTCAATCCAGGACCGCGGTAATCATCAAGAACTGGGCAGAGAAATGCCAGGACTTCGACAAGATCACGTCTGTCTTTCAGCGTTACTTGAAGGTCAAGAGGTATTTATCAAGTCTTTCTTCAGAAGACCAGAAGTCTATTGGTGGCGAGGTAATGTTATACATGTGCAACATCCTTGGCCTCCAACTTATTCGCAGACCGTTGAAAAGGGCTTTCAGCGATTCAGGTATGAGCAAGCGTGGACATGATTTCTTGGTCTCTATTCCTGACCTCATCGTTCTAGAATCGAGTGTATTGGCAATGATTTGGGCCCAGGTCAGAGAGATGATGTCGTTGCCCCTTTCCGTTGAGACGAAACACCAGGTCCAATATTTGATGAAGGCTTTGAAGTTCCCGCTGGGGGAACTTCGAAGCGGACCTTCTGTGCTCGTCAAACATCGTCTTCCGTTCGTCTCAACGTATGAAGTGTCAACTACGCATCTGCGAGTCCAGACAACGGGTCTCGAGTTCCAGTTGGCTCACTGTGGCCCTTATCTGGAGCGAAGCTTCGACTCCGCCCCCGACCCGCGCGTTTCTTTCAGTCCAGATGCCTGGCAACGAAGCGTACTTGATGCCATTGATGACGATAACAGCCTTTTCGTCGTCGCTCCAACGTCCGCCGGAAAGACCTTCATCTCGTTCTACGCCATGAAGAAGATTTTGCAGAACAACGACGATGACGTTCTCGTCTACGTAGCCCCCACCAAAGCGCTCGTCAACCAGATTGCCGCCGAAGTTCAGGCTCGGTTCTCCAAGTCGTACCGCCATGAGGGCCGTTCGGTTTGGGCCATCCACACTCGAGACTACCGTGTCAATAACCCCACCGGCTGTCAGGTTTTGGTGACCGTTCCGCACATCCTCCAGATCATGCTTCTGGCGCCCACCAATGCGCAAAATGAGAGATCCTGGGCTCGCAGAGTGAAGAGAATTATCTTTGACGAAGTGCACTGCATTGGTCAGGCCGAAGACGGTATCATTTGGGAGCAACTATTGCTTCTTGCTCCTTGTCCCATCATCGCCCTATCTGCTACTGTGGGCAACCCGCTCGAGTTCAAGGAGTGGCTCGCAGGAACTCAGAAGGTCAAGGGCTTTGACCTTGAAATGATCGTTCACTCGGCCAGATACTCTGACTTGCGAAAGTTCCTGTACCAGCCACCCATTAGGCTTGAGTTTGAAGGACTAGAGCCAGTGGAGCGTTTGCCAATCCCCGGTTTGGATGCTGAAGCAGGAGAAACCTCGCGATTCACGTTTGTGCATCCTATCGGAAGCATTATCAACAAGTGAGTCTTGATAAACCTTTCATGCAGCCTTGCCAAATCCTGAATGCCATCTTTTACTGACTGATTAAACCCAGGAATCGCGAGACTCTTGAAGATGCCAGTCTCGAGCCACGCGACTGTCTCCGGCTTTGGCTGTCCATGAAGGAATATGAAAACGAGTCGTATCTTATCAATCCCAGCCTTGAG